GCTGGGAAGGGACTTAGGGCTCCAAAGCTAAGGCAGGAGGTGAGAGTTGCAGTGTAGGAATGAAAAAAGGCCGACCCCCAAATTCCACCAGAGTACTGGGTCCTGCGGGATGTGTTTAGTGAAAAAGATTCAGATGAACTCTCACCCCGTAGAAATCCTGCCGGGGCCTAAGCTGCCTAAACCCAAATTGTACTCAATGATTCTTAGAGAACTGGAGAAATTACAGTCCTTTATAAACAAAAATTTGAAACGTGGGTTCCTCCAGCTGGCCCGACCCAGGGTGGCTGCCCCAGTTTTGTTCTGGGAAAAAAAGGATGGGCCCCTTTGTTTATGTGTGGAGTATAGAGGGCTAAATGGTGTGTGTGTGTGGAAAACATCTACCCTGTTGCCCTTAATGAAGGGCACACTGCTGGCTCGTAGTCAAGTGATCATCCACTAGGAGTCCAAGGTCCCTCTCACAATTGCTGTTTTTGAGCCAGGTCTTGCCCAATCTGTACTTGTACCTGTGATTTTTCCTACCTAAACGTAAAACTTTGATTTCTCCACATTAAAACTCATTTTGTTGGATAGGGCCCATTGTTCAAGTTTGTTAAGTTCTTTTTGGATTCTAAGCTTGTCTTCTGGGGTGTTGGCTACTCCTGCCAGTTTAGTGTCATTTGCAAATTTGATGAGTTCCCCTTATATTCCTTCATCTAGGTCATTAATGATGTGGCTGTGGGGGCAGTTATCTTACAAAGAAACAACCAAGGTGGCCTATAACCATGTGCATACACCTCCAAGAAACTCACTGAAGCAGAGTTTCAGTGGGCAGTTTGGGAAAAAGGCTTACACAGTGTGCTGGTACTCCTAGTTTGGAGGCACTTCCTGGAAGGGAGCAAAAAACCTAGAAGCCCTGAGACAACCCCGGAAGTTGTCACCAAAGCAAATCCAATGGGCTTAGTACTTTAATTAGTTCAACTTCACCTTCTGGTATCTCCTAGGGGAAATACTTTTTTAACAGTTGTACTATCCAAAATGCCTCAAAACAACAGCTTTAAGCTAGTGGTAGTTAAATCCATCATCCTTCCTGCCAGCTTGCAGCACCCGAGCACAGGCAAAGGTGAAACCCTAAATAGGTGAATGGATAGAAGCGACCCTAAAGGCAGGAGTAGAGGGGAACAAATGGTTCCAAGCCCACAAAAATGAATGTACAATATAAAGTGGTCTGGCCTGGGTAGGAGCCAAACTATATGTCCCCAAAAGCCAGAGATTGCTGATCTTGGAGAAAAGCCATGACTCAAAAACTGCAAGACATTTTGGCTTTGTAAAGACTTTACACTTAATTAAGCTGCAGTTTTGGTGGCCATCGCTTAAAAAGGACATTCAGAATTATGTGGCCAATTGCCCAGTATATGCCTCAGCAAAGCAGCAGTAGGGGAAAATACCAGGACTCCTCTAGCCAATAGCAGAGCCTACTGCCTCATGGAAGGAAATCTCCATGGACTTCGTAGTGGAACTCCTTGAAACTTCAGGGAATACCATGATCACTGACTTGTTTTCTAAGCAATCACATTTTATGCTCTGCCAAAATATTCCTTCTGCCTGCACCTTGTCTAAGCTGTTCATTCAACATGTCTCTAGATTACACGGTGCTCTGCAATAGATAATCTCTGATTGTGGAGTGCAATTCATTTCAAAGTTTTGGTAGGAGTTTCTAAAACTCTTGGGAATGCCCCAGGGACTTAGTTCCAGTCATCATCTGGAAACAAATGGGGGCTGTGAACATTTGAATGGGGTCCTGGAAAAATACCTGAAATGTTACATCAATTATCATTAGAACAATTGGACGGACCTCCTGCCATTTGCTGAGATTGCTTACAACAACTCCGTACATAGCAGCACTGAGTTTCACCCCATTTAAAATGACTATGGGACAAGACTTTGTGTCCATACCCAAATTGCCCCTAGCCACCCCTCCTATCACATCGCTGAAGGATTGGGTTACTTAATTACAGAATACCTGGGTACTGGTTAGAAAGTCAGTGGAGGAAACAAGAGAAACTTACAAAACACAAGCCAATAAAAAGCGAATAAAGCCCAAAGACTTTAAAGTAGGGGACTGTTTACCTGTCACAAAATACCTGCAGTCTGGGCAACCTTCCAAAAAGCTGGGACCAAAGTATGTTGGCCCTTTCCCCATTAAGGGGATTATCAACCCAGTTACAGTAGAACTCGAACTGCCTAAATCACTTAGGCACATCCATCCCATTTTCCATTGCAGCCTTTTAAGACCCAAAAATCTGTTCCCACTACACCCAACACCACCACCACCACTAGAGCCACTCATGATTGAGGGGGGAACAGCATTTTGAATGGTAAACATCGAGTATTTTGTCGCATGGACTTTCCTCCCTCTGAAACTGAATGGGTAGACCTTAAATATGTCAAGGCAGCTAAGCTCCTTAAGGGCTTTCATAACCAATATCCTGATAAACCAATATAGCTTGCATACCTAGCCATGCATCTGTATTATTTCTCTCTCCTTTTGTTTTTGTCTTGCAATAATAATAAATATTAATATTTTTAAGCATGGAAGATGATTTCTTCCAAAACATGTAAATACGGATAGTATAAAGTTACATCAGTTATTTTTAATTGGGAAAAAGAATTGCAACAAGGAAGTTTCAAACTTTTGCCATATATTTATTCTGCATTATTTTGCAAAGCTTGCATCATCATCACCACCCACCATCATCATCACCACCCACCATCATCATATATTGTCTGTATATCTACATAGTCCAATAAAAGAACTGTCTAGGGAAAACAACAGCATTTTTGTAGTTCAAAAATAGTGGGTGGGTAGGTGGGGGATGGGGGGGGTTGAGAGAGAGAGAGAGAGAGAGAGAGAGAGAGAGAGAGAGAGAGAGAGAGAGAGAGAGAGAGAGAGAAATCGTTGTCTGTGAGTTTTCATCTATCCCAAATCCTCAAGAATGAAAAATAAGCATGCTTTACAGCCAAATAATTTTCTGGGTGGCACTGGAAGTTACATTGAACATAAGCAAAACATTCCAACTCTGCAGATACTTTATGTACATTTCTAGCAGAATTTATTTTAAATAGTATAATAGTCATTATTTCTTTCTAACAAACTTCCAGAATTTTTGGCCATTTTTTCTTCATTACTGCTGTAAAAAGATTGCAGGATTGGTTAAAGGAAATAAAGATCAGATGAAAACAAAAGCACAAAAAGATTACTGTAATTACCTATTTACTTAATTAAAGTATTCTAATTTAAATGCAGCCTCATTTAATATACACACATTTTCTTAATCAGTTGCATGTGATATCTAGAGTGTCAGCAGACTCACTTGAAAGGTTCTCTGATACAGTCCAGGACATGCTTAGTTTCCAAAGATATTGGTTATTAGCCAAAATGAAACAAAACAAAAACAGTGTTTCACATTAATACTATTTTGGCAAGTCATAGTAACATAAGAAAGACAAATCTTTACTGAAGAAACAAACAACACACTCAGCATTGAAAACTTTGATTAGGTGTCACAATTTTGTACAAATCATTTGTAATAAGCAAATTATTTAGAGTAAATATAATACTCTCTCAGCTGTTTATGGTTTTAAACAATCTTCCCTAACCTTTCACCATCTAGATCAGGGCATTTCAACCTTTTCACCCATTGTACCACTTTTAGGATATGGCAACATCCGAGTACCACCAGTCGCCTAGCAAGGTGTCAAAAACTTGATGACCAAAAAAAAAGGGGGGGGAAATGATGTACAGGTAGTCCTTGATTTACAACAGTTCGCTTAGTGACTGTTTGAATTTACAATGGCACTGAAAAAAGTGCCCCCCAAGCCACAGCCGAGCAAGACACCTGCCTGCCCACCCGGTGGCGCTCTTCCTCCTGTCCGAGGTTTTCATTGTTGTGAACATTTCTGTTGAGGACTGGCAGCAGGGGTGGGGGGTGTTTGGTTTTTATTCTCCCTGTCTGCTGGGTGGTTGAAGCAGGTTTTGGTCACTTCACATGACCCTGGGACACTGTGACCATCATAAATATGAATCGGTTGCCAAGCATCTGAATGTAAATCACAAGACCCTGGAGATGGTGCAACATTCCAGCTGATTGGTGCTTCTTCAGGGCTCAGCAGAAGCACCAGGATCAGCGCCGAGCTCCAGCTGGAGCCTGGCGCTGATCCTGGCGCTTCCACTGAGCCCTGATAGCCCTGAAGAAGCGCTGATCCTGGCGCTTCCACTGATCCCTGACAGCCCTGCAGCTCCAGCCATCTCTCGCTCAGGCTTGTGCGGTGCTGCCACTGGTTCAGCTCATTCCCCTCTCCCGCCACCACTTTTCTAGGATTGTCGCGTACCACCTGCCAGGTGCCAATGTACCACAGGTGGTACCCGTACCACTGGTTGAAAAGCCCTGGATTATAGGTAGTCCTCGAGTTACGAGTATAATGGAGCCTTCCCATTCCACTCATAACTTGAAAACTTGGAATGAATCTCGTACCTCAAATGAGGTAACTCCCTTGCTTGTTAAGATGCACGCGGCTCGTTGAGGTATCTCAGGGTGGGGAAGGCCATGGACGACCTAGTGATGGAACAGGCCCCCAAGGCCTCCCCAACCCACTAAGATACTTCATGCTTCCCCCTCCCTTCTTGCCGCACCAGACTCACGTTTAAAAGACCTGTCTCCTCTCTGCCGCAGTTCCTGCTGCCGCCCGGATCTGAGGCCAGGGGACACTTCTGCATGCCTCCGGAGGCTGAATCGGGGCATCAGAGGCGTTTTCCAGGCCACTGCTGCCTGGATCTGAGGTTGGGGGATGCTTCCGTGGTCCTCCAGTGGCCCGATCTGGGCACCAGAGGCCTTCTCCAGGCTGCTGCTGCCCGGATCTGAGGCTGGGGGACATTTCTGTGGCCCTCCGACAGCCTGTTTTCTTGCATGAGTGGGGCCGCGAATACCCATGATGCCTGTGCAAGTGGTCTGTGAATGCCCATGATGCTCATGATGATGCTTGCACAAGGGGGCTGTACGTATGTGCACACATGTGCACTGACCAGCCACTCACATGGCCCGGTGGCCAATAGGCTGCAGCCCAGTAGTGGGCTGCAGCCCACAGGTTGGAGACCCCTGTTCTAATGGGTAGTATACTGGCAAGATAAAATCATGAATTGGAAGTTATAGACTGTGGTTGTTCCTGTGTTACATCTCTAAAAGAATTTAGAGATGTTTAAACTTTCTGCATTCTATACGTACTAATTGGATGACATTATTCAATTGCCTTGCTATCTATTTGTAGATGAACTAAAAGGTTACGGACCAATTTTTGAAGAGCAGCCCATTGATACGGTATATCCAGAAGAGTCTCCAGATGCAAAAGTGTCGATGAACTGCAGAGCCCGAGGAATCCCTACACCTACTTACAAGTAACTTGGGTTACTCTCTTAATGTTATATTAATAATACTAATTGTACTAATTCAGTTTAGATCTGAGATTTGGTCCAAAAATGCACCAGTGGTGGATAACCCTAGCAAGTTTGGAAAAGTCAGTTTACTAACAACTGCCGAAAACTTAATGATTTAGTTCCAAAGTTTTGTTACTTTTTCGGAAAAGACAGTTTAATTCACAGCCACCTATATCGTTGCTACATGAGTAGCAATGCAAAGTAGCATGCAAAGTCAATTGGGATGTTTGTAGGAAGTCAGAAATCATGATAATGATCATGTGAGAACCACACTTAATAATCCACACAATCTTCACTTAACTAAAAGTAATTGGGAACTGCCATAACTGCTGTTGCTAACTCACATGGTCAGATATCATGCTTTATGACTGCTTCATTTAGCAATGGAAGGTGCCAATTATTATTACTGAGGCCTACCTGTATATTATTTTTTAGGAAATAAAAGTATACTTTAAAAATGAATAAAAAACAAGTGGTAAGAGATGAGCAGTGCTGAAATCAATCTGCCCTAGTACAACTGTTATCTTTCTCCTTTTTTAACATTTATAAATAACAGCACAGTAGAAATCATAGTACTAAGTATTAAGCTCAAAGATTGAAACCTTTTTCAAACGATGAAATAATTCATTTTCATTTCAACCAAATGGAGTTGAGAATTTTACTTTTCTAAGGGATCAGACTGGGGCAGGTCTGATATTAAGCAGAATCTGAAATTGTGGTCAACCCAGAAAGGCCATTGCCTGTACTATGGGGACCATGCATGCAATGTCAGCTCAAGGGAGTGACCAGGAAGAAATTGAATGCTGGGGAGAGCCTTCATCCAGGCCCCCGCACAAGCTGAATTTCTTCAAATGGACTAGAGACAGAGAGAGCTGCAGTGAACCACCAAGATCCAGGTGGTCCCTAGGTATTAGAAAGAAGGAGGACTGGGAAGAGAAGCCGGTGGAGGTGACTTACTTGTGGAAGCCGTGGAAGCTGCTGATGGGAACAGAGAATGGAGCTGAAAAAACTGGAGAAGGAGGAGGAGGAGATGGCCAGGGAGGGAGCAAGCCATCAAGTTTATGCGGGGGTGTGTGTGTTGAAAAACCTGAAGGCGCACAAAGCCCTCAACCTCATCTCACAGCCAGATGATCAGCCACATCCATCCTCAGTGAACAATGGGGCAAATGCATCCACTGCAGCAGGCAAACTGGAAGTTGCTGCAGCAGCCTCTGCAGCCCCAGCACCTGGAGGGACGGCCCAGTGTGGGGGCCCTGTGGGGCTAGCTCCAGCAAGGAGAAGGAGCTGCAAAACCCCACTACTGGGCATGAAATTTGATGGTGGTCCTCAGCAAATGGGGGATTTCCTAGCCTGGATTTGGACCTATATGGGACCTATATGGTCCCAAAATAGCTACAGAGGGTGGCAAGGCGAGATGTATCACCATGGCCCTGGAAGGGGCTGCAGGAAGGTGGATAGTCACCCTCCATAATGACGACACCATGGAGCTGAGGACCTTCAACTGTTTCATGGCAGCATTTTGAAAACATTTCGAAGACCCCCATGCTGACCACAAAGCCAGGGACTGCATCAAAACTATCAGCCAGGGCTTGAGGAATATGGCTGAGTACACCCAGGAGTTCTGTAATACTGACTCTGACGATGACCCCCTGGTAAGTGTCCCAATCAGCCTGGTGACAGTCCCCATTGAACTGATAGTCCAATCTTTGGGATGTGAAGTCAGCCTGATGGCCCTTCTGGACTCAGGATGCACCAGGTGTTTGGTCAACCTTGTCCTAGTGGAGAAACTGGAGGTGAGACTTAGACACTCAAAGTTCTGGTGGTATTCTGCCAGTTAGATGGCTCTATAGCAGGGGGGATCCCAGCAATGTTCATCACTGAGCCGATAGAAATGTGGATGGGGGCACACTATGAGACTCTGAGTTTTATTGTGGCTCCAGGCATGAAGAGACATTTGGTGTGGCTACGGAAATGGAACCCCTATGTGAACTGGAGGAGGGAGCTGTTAAAAATCTGGCAGGCTGAGGCTAAAATGAAACCAGGAAAGAACTTAGAGATCCCAAACCCAAGGCAAGAGGTGGGGGCTGCAATGCATGAGCAGAAGGCCGATTTCCAAATTCCCCCAAAGTACTGGGAATTGCGGGATGTGTTTAGCGAGAAGGATTCAGATGAACTCCCACCCCACCAGCCAACAGACTGCTCCATAGAGATCCTGCCAGGTGTTAAACTACCCAAACCCAAATTGTACTCGATGACCCCTAGGGAACTGGAGGAACTACATCTTTTTATGGAAGAAAACCTAAAGTAGGGATTTATTCAGCTGGCTCGACTAAGAGTGGCCACCCTAGGGCTATTCCATGAGAAAAAGGATGGGTCCCTGTATCTATGCACAGAGAGCTAAATGCTGTGTGTGTGGAAAATGTCTACCCACCTGCCCTGCACTCATGCACTTTGGGGCCCTGCAGCCCGGCCACCTCCGCCCTGCCGCCTGCCTCACCTTGCCTCGCCTCATCCCGTGGCGGCAGCACGACCAGCAGCAGCAGCAGCAGCATCCAGGAGGATCCACACGGCCCCTCCATTCTCCTCAGGAAGCCCGTCAGCATGGAGGGGAAGCCACTGCCGCCACCGTCAGTCAGGCGAAGCAGCCACCTTGGAGCGGCACTCGTGAGCCTCCCCCTCCCCCCCGCCAGCCCGTCAGCCCACCTCGCACCCACCATGAGCAACTTAGCCAAGGGGAGTGAGCACAGCAGCAGCAGCCTCGAGGAGGTACGGACCCTTTTTGTGAGTGGCCTTCCGGTGGACATCAAGCCGTGGGAGCTGTAGCTCCTTTTCCAGCCTTTTAAGGGTTATGAAGGATCACTGATCAAACTAACATCCAAATAGCCAGTAGGCTTTGTTACTTCCAACAGCTGTTCTGGTGCAGAAGCTGCAAAGAATGCTTTGAAAGGGATCCGCTTCAACCCAGAGAATCCCCAGACGCTGCGGTTAGAGTTTGCTAAGGCCAACACCAAGATGGCAAAAAGCAAGCTAATGGCCACACCAAACCCCACCAACCTCCACCCTGCCGTAGGTGCACACTTCATTGCACGAGATCCTTATGATTTGTCTGGAGCTGCCCTGATTCCAGCATCTCCAGAAGCATGGGCCCTGTACACCATGGAGCTAACCCCAGCCATTCCATATGCAGCTTTCACCTATCCAGCTGCCGCCGCTGCTCTTCACACTCAGATGCACTAGTACCCTCCTTCTGACGCTAGCCAACAAGGATGGAAGTCCCGTCTGTTCTGTTAGTTTTTTTAAAAAAATTTAATTTTTCTTTTTTTAAACAGACAAAATACACAATACATTTTCCTTTTCCCTTAACAATACTATGTCCTATATCTCTTATGTTTATTAACAATTATTTACATTACTTCTCTTACTTTTTTATTCCTCAATTCTAATCAACTATAATACATGTCCCATACCTCGTAAAATTCAGTAACTTCTTTGTCTTTCATTTCTAAGGTTAGTTTGTTCATCTCTGCACAGTCTAAAATCTTTCCTATAGTCTTTGCATTTGTTGGTATGTTTTCACTTTTCCAATGTTGCGCATATGCAACATGTGCAGCCGTTATAATATGTATAATGATGTATTGGAGTCGTTTTTCAATTTTTGGATTAATTATGCCTAATAAAAATATTTCGGGCTTGAATTCAATTTGTTGTTTTGTTATTTCCAGTAGCCATCTTCTTATCTTTTTGCTTTGGGGCATTGCCACCACATATGGTAGAATGTTCCCTCATTATTTTTGCATTTCCAACAATCTGGATTCATAGTTTTATAAATTTTAGCCATCTTGCCGGTGCTAGATGCCATCTGTAAAACATTTTAATTTGGTTTTCTTTATACGCAGTTGACAACGTTAATTTGCAATTTACGTTCCAAGTTCTTTCCCATTCATCTAGTCCTATATTTCTACCTATATTTCAGGCCCATGCTATCATCGGGCCCTTTACTATTTCTTCTTCAAATTCAATTTCTAGTAGGAGTTTATAGGTTTTTGTTAAAATAAAATAAAAAAATTCCCCAGTTTTATTGGAACTGTTTGAAAGAGGTATAACACTCTTGGTAAAACATTCATTTTAATCGCCGAAATCCTTCCTAACAATGATAATTGTAATTTCCCCCAAATCTCTATATCTTTTTGTATACATAGTACCAATTTTTTATAATTATCTTCTTTTATTGAGGAACATCTTGTGGTGAGCCAAATTCCCAAATATTTAACCTTTTTTACTATTTGCAACCCCAAATTTTCTTCTAATCCCCTTTTTTGTTTTTCAGTTAAATTTTTAACTAATATTTTAATCTTTCTTTGTTTATTTTTAGTCCTGCCACCGTTCCATAATTCTGTTTCATCTATTAAAATTCTACCTCTTTCAAACGGTTCCTCTATAAAAAACACCAAATCATCTGCGAATGCCTGTATCTTATATTCTTCTGTTTTAATCCTTTTTTTTTTTTTT